GGTGTGGGCAGGGTTTGAACCCATGTTTGCCTGACCTCAGTCTCACTGCCAACCTAGCTGACGTACGGACCACAGGCATGTGCCACAGGAGAAGTCCACAAGAGCATGAATGGTTCAGTGGCACTGCTCATGGAGGTGGGGAGGGGCACAGGTGTAGCTCCACTCTCATTTCTCAAGTGCTAAATAATGAGGTGATTTTGCCTTTTTGGACAAGACACTCAACTGCCAGGGTTGTGCCCAGGAATTTCTGAGCTCAGCGCCTGCTCTGCCTCTCTCATCTCCTCTGGCCACCTCTCACCAGCCCTGGTCCTAGGCCACACCGGGCCCTCCAACCTCCTCCCCAGGGCCCATCAGCCTCCACTGTGCTCATTTCCCAGGTGGAAACATCAAGGCAAGGGGCTGGACATGAGCTGATGGCCGAGAATGGCTGCTGGTTGGGTTTTCAGAGAACTGAGATCTTGGCGGGGGTAGCTGGACTGGGCAGTGTGTGTGGGGGGGGGGGTGCCTGGGGCCTGCTCAGTTTCTGGGTCACTAGTCTTGGGGAATTCCCCGGTTCCCAGAGGGCTGCTTACCTGGTGAGTAACTGCCATCTGCCCACGCAGGATGCCGGACTGTGAGGGTACCTCCCGCCACCCCCTGTCCATGGCCTCGCTGCCCTCTCCCCTGCCTGCCCCGGGGCCAGGAAAGAGACAGACAGACAGGCAGGGGGCCGGCTCCCACCCCCACACTCCCCCCCACCCCGGGTCTGGTGATTCAAAGCCCCCCTTTGCTGAGCTGTGTCTCCTTCCTTCTCAGATGGGGCCTGGGGGTGAATCAGCTCCTGGGGATGGCAGGCCAGGTCAGCTGCTGACCTCAGCTCTGGCTAGGGGGTGGGGTGGTCAGGCACCAGGAGAGGTATGGGGAGGGTGCGCACATCCCCCACACGATCCCCTGATCTTTCTGGGCGCCCCTGAAGCGGGAGGTTATAAGGGTGTCTCTGTTTCTCCATCAACAAAGGGTCGAGAGGTTCCCCTTCTGCCCAGCTTCCCCCCTCAGCCCTGGGAGTGCACCATGGGACAAGTCAAGTCACTCCTCTGAGCCAAAGTTTCCTCATCCGTAAAACGGGGACAAGAACCCCTACTCCTCAGAAAGGTCGTTAACATCAGTGCTAACGTGGAGAGGGCTGGCTGGGTGTTTAGAACATTGCTGAGCCCTGAGCCCTCATAGCAAATCCAGGACATAGGTAATGTTATTTCCATTTTACAGATGAGGAAACTGAGGCTAGGAGGTGGTCACTTCCTCCAAAGTCACCTAGCTCTTACCCAGCAGATCCAAACCTCAAACATGGCTCTGAGGCTGAAGTCTACTCCTCAAACTGTCAGATCACCCTGCCTCCTCTCCACAAGAGACTGGGCCCAGACAGCTTTTGGAGATTGTAAAATGTTTTAAAAAATAGCATCTAATCTGGATATAGCCCCGAGCCAGTGTGTCAAGGGTAAAAATAAGTGTCAGACTCCTGGAAGATTGAGGGATAAGACTTGTCCCCACTTGACCGAGAGCAGGCAGGATGAGGCCACCTCGAGCCAGTCATGGCTGTGGGAGGCTAGAGAGGCTTCCTGGAAGAAGCGGGCCCTCACTCTTCTCCAAGCAAGTCACTGGCCTGCATGCCAGAGGCCTGGGTTCCAGACCTGGCTCTGCTGCTAACTCTTGATGTGTCCCAGTTTCCCCACCTGAAAAGCAAAACAGCTGTGACATTCTAGGAGAGATTTGTGGGTGGTGGGTGAGAATCAGCAGAGAAGGAAGGACTGGCTGGCCGCACGTGCCAAGGTGTGGATGAGAGACCCCAGGCCCAGCCTGCATGCTCATTTCCTGGAGCGGGGAGATGAGGCCCTGGCTGACGCAGTCGCTCAGGGGCATCACCCTTGGGCCTCGGACTGGTAGCCCCCTCCCCAGGCCGAGAGGGTCCCCCTTACCCTGAGGCAGGTCCAATCCCCACCCGGCCCAATCTGCAGGAGCTGGACAGGCTGGGGATGAAGTCACAGCTGGAAGGGGCCGGGCTGGGGCTGCCACTCCAGGGTGGGGCCTGGGGTCACGACCCCGGAACAGGCAGCCAAGAAGGGAGGATGCCTTCCGTGAGGGAGCTGGGGGAAACACACACAGCAGCATAGAGGGAGGGGAAGAAAACAAGCTCCAGGAGACCAAAGCAGGCTTGGAGCGCGGCCCGGGCGGCCGTTCCCGGGGGCCGAAGCCACGTTGCAGGCGGTTCACGGACCCACGGCTCCAAGACCCTGCCTGGCCTTCCTCCAGAGGCCCAGCACAGGGGGCTCCTGGACATGACAGGACGGGGAGGCTGGGCCCGGGGCACCGAGGGGCCCAGAGCACTTGGGGAGCACGGACCAAGTCAGGTACCGTGAGCGGGAGACTGAGGCCCTCGGTGGGGCCGGTCAGGGCCGGGTTAAGTGGCCCTAGCTCAGTGTCTTCCAGACCTTGCCCCCACTTCCTGCTTCCTGTGGGGTGGGGCTGAGATGAAGTGGCGATTGGGGGGTGGATCATGGAGCTGGTGTGGGGTTGTGAGGTCTGGGAGCAGAAGGCAGAGAAAGGGGAGCCTGCAGTCTACTAGGAAGACGGGTGTGGGGAAAGACTGGGGGCAGGGAAATGGTAAGATGGGGTGGGGCCTCCCAGGTGTCAGAGCCCCTGGTGAGAGAGTCGAGGGGGTAGGGAGGCTGATAGATGGGGCCACAGTGCAGCCCTGGTCCAATGCACTTGGGGTCCACATCAGGAGAAGTAAGGTGGGATTGGAAGCTGATCTCGAGTTCTGTGCTCCAAATGGTCAGGTCCTGGCACAGAGAGGCTGGGGGCGGGGGCGGGGGGTGTTCTGGAAGTGGAGGATGAACTGGGGTGTCTTGGGTTATGGGATTGCCTGAGCCAGGCTAGGGTTGGTAGGAAGAGGCAGGTCTTGGGTGTGCTTCCTCGGGGTGCGTGCCCATCCCAGTGCAGATGTGTGGGAGAGGGAGGTGCCAGGTGGGGCCCTCACAGCCCCCCAGGGAATGATAAGGTGGGGGCAGGGAGGAGGAAGGAAGGGGAGGGAGGGCCAGTGTGGGCTTGGCTAGCCTCCTCCTTGCTGGGAGGTACCAGCTGGGACGGGCAGTTTTATCACCCCACATTGAGGCCCTGCAGTGGGGGGAGTGGGAGGCGGGCCAGGGTGTGTGTGTGTGTGTGTGTGTGTGTGTGTGTGTGTGTGAGACAGAGAGAGAGAGAGAGTCAGGAGAGGGGGATGGCAGCGGCAGGAGGGCTCTTCTGTCACAGTGAGGAGATGTGGGAGGAGCACGTGGCTAGGAAGGTCCAGGATGTGACAAGAGGAGGGAGGTGGGGCATGGAGTACTGGAGTGGGCAGGCAGGGGGCTAGGGGCCAGAGAGGGGCCTTACTCTCTGGTTGGGGTCAGGTGGGAAGGCAGCAGCTGGGTGGGGTCCCTGGGGAAAGAGATATTTCCTGGGACAGGGCGTGCCCCTGGCAGCTTTTGGGAAATCCTGGCCCCAGATGTGTGTCTGCCCAGCACTGCCCCATACCTTTTGTTATTATTGTTAGCATTTAACTGCCTTTAATTGTGGAGGAGGTCCCTGAGTGATGCAAATAGTCTGCACTTGGTTACTAACCTAAAGTTTGGTGGTTCAGCACAGTGGAAGAAAGGCCTGGCAATCTGCTTCCCTAAGATTATAGCCAAGAAAATCCTATGGAGCTCAGTTCTACTCTGTAACACATGGGGTCACCACGAGTCAGCATCGACTCCATGGCAGTGGATTTAGTTTTTCTGGTTTAATTGGGGAGGAGTCTGTGCTCATCTTGCCTGGTCCCCTTCCTGCCCCCCTCACTCTTTTTCGAACCCGCCTGGCTGTGGTAGTAGGCACGAGAATTTATGATCCTGCCTTAGAGACTCTAGAAGCACTTTTGTCAGGAGGCCTCCATCATTCTCTGAGGCTGAGCCCCAAGGGGCCTCCAAGGCACATCTGGGGAGGGGCCGCCATTCCCCAGTTCTCTCTGGCAACCCCTCAGCATCCTGAGGAGGCTGTCTGGGTCTTACTTGGCTAAGCCTTCCTAGGCCTCTGCTCAGGTGTCCCTTTCAGAATGGAAATACTAGACCACCTTCCACGGAAGGGGGAGATGGGTTGCAAAGAGCCTCCAACACACCAAACCTTCCCAGAAGTCCTCCTAGGCTGTCCCCAAAGACCTGAGTCACAGCAGCCCCCCTCCCATCTTCCTGTCCTCCTCCCCAGTCTCACAGGTACGGTGGTTAGCAGAGCAGGTGTGCTGATGGAGGTCAGGGGCCTGAGCCTGCCAGACTCTGGGCACCTGCTTTCTTCAGAGCCCCACTCTGCTCTGTGGAAATGGGCAGGTTGGAGGAGGCCACCTCTGGGGTGGCTTCCAGCACCCACATTCAGTTCCGCTTTATTACTGTCTAAAGTCCAAGCCAGGCCTCAGCCCCTTTTCCTGGAGCCTCCTTCTCAGCCCAGCCCAAGCCCGCCTTCTCCCCACTGCCCCCCAAAGCCCCTGCCCAGGGGCCACAGATGCCAGTCTCTCTGCTTGCCCAGGTGAGTCAGGGCCATCTGGGGCGCCCACTGCCCATCCACACAGGACCCTGCTGACTGGGCCAGGCCTCCTCCTCTCCCTCCCCAACTTCAAACAACTCTAAGGGCAAGCCACTCAGGAAAACCGCACGGCGTTTGGTAGAAGACTTCATTATAATTTTATCAATCAAATTCTTAGAAGAGGGAAAAAGTCTGCCCTCCCCACCCTCCCTCCTTACTCTGCCCCCCCTTCACTCTCACTTTCTTCCATTCATAATTTCCTATGATGCACCTCAAACAACTTCCTGGACGGGGATCCCGGCTAAATATAGCTGTTTCTCTGTCTTACAACACAGGCTCCGGTATATAAATCAGACAAATTCCCCGTTTGAGCATGAACCTCTGAAAGGTGCCGGCGTCTAAGGTCTCCTCCAAGGCCCTCTGCAGTCCAGCCCATAATGAAGGTCTTGGCGGCAGGTAAATCCACACGCCAGCTCCGGCTTCCGCGCCCGCCGAACTCGGGCACTTGGCGCGAGCGAGAGAGCGGGGCACCCACCCACCGCAGACACACTCGGCACTCGGGGCACCCGCCCAGCGCCGGGGAAGTCGCTGCTCCAGGCGGCCGCGGCCGGTGGAGGCGCTGGGTTGCGGCCGGGAGCAGGCGCAGCACATGGTCCGGCACCGCTCGCCCAGCAGCCCGGCCAGCAGGTTGGCCAGAGGGAGGAGGCCGCCACAGCCTTCCTCCCACTCCTCCTGCTCCTCCTGCTCCTCCTCGCTCCCGCCACTCTCCCGAGCTGTTCTCTGTCTCTGCTTTCTGTCTGATTCACCCTCCCTTTCTTTCTTTCTTTCTTTCCGCTTTCTCTTTTCCAACCGCGTCCGGGGCTGCTCCCTGGGAGGGGAGCAGGGCGCCGAGCAGCTTGCAAACTCCGGCCCGGGACGGGAGCAGGTGCCGCCTCAATCTGCTAGTGCCTGGAAAGCGTGTGGTCTGTGCTAGGTGAGATGGGGTGTGGGGACCCCCCGGTCACCGTGGGGCCTCAGCACTGCCTGAGGATGCTGGGATGAACAGGGAACCTAAAGGAAGTGTATGTACTTGAGGTTGCCACCAGCCCTCCAGTTCCAGCAGGGGGATCCAGGCGGGAGGCTTCTGCCTCACTGGCCTGCTGTCCCCAGCCCCTACTACCTCCCTTGCCAGCTGGAAAGGGGCCTGAGAGTGAAGAGGGTGGGGGCAGGATGCCCCAGGGGGAGTGGCGACCCAGGACAGGCCGGGACAGCTCCCAGCTCTCCTGTCACGTTTCACTTTTTTTCCTCCCCGCCCACTCTGCAGCCTGTGACCTTTTCCATTTTCTCTTTCCTGGTTTCACCGTTTCCTCTGCCTCCTGAAGGCCTCCGGGGGCTGGGGGCTGTGGGACCCCTGGACTCCCCTGCTCTAACCCAGGACCTGGGGCAAGGGGTGGTAGACAAGAAGGTGAGGGCATGGAAGCCAGGGGCTGAACAGAGCTGAGGACAGGGTGTTTTGAATGGTGATTTGGGGATGGATTGGCGGTAGAGTTGCAGAATCAGGATGGAATTGAGGGTTCTAGGCAGGGAAGTATGGAATCCCTGGGTGAGGCAAATGGTTAAGCTCTCGACTACTAGATGAAAGGTTGGAGGTTCGAACCCACCCAGAGGCACCTCGGAAGACAAGCTCGGTGATCTGCTTCTGAAAGGTCGCCATTGAAAACCCTATGGAGTGCAGTTCTAATCTGCACACACGGGTCACCATGAGTCGGAATTGACTGGAGGGCAACTAACAGCAACATCGAAGATAGGGAAGTTGGCCACGTTCGGGGAAGGACAGAGGTGCAGGAGATGGGAAACTGAGGGGCATTTGGCCTGGGGAGCCAGAATCAGGTGGCAGGTTTGGGATGGAGAAGAAGGTCAACAAACGACTTCCCTCCCAGTGGTCCCCATGGGAGCCCAGATTGGGAGATTTGGGTCACTGTGGACCATCTGGGGAGATGGGGAGATAGGAAGATGGGGAGATAGGGAGATAAGCACCTCGTATTCCAACAGGATGGGTAGTGGTACCCTCAAGTCAGAGAGCCAGGAGGCCAGGAGGCTTTTACCTTATTGAGGGAAAGGATTGGATGGTTGGGTGTCACCCTAGATCCAGGTTCCAGTTGGTGGGAACAGCTCATGTCCTGCAGGGAGATACAAGCAAGTGAAGAGAACCAGGGATAGCGAGATAGAGTAGAGGGAGACAGATGGTGGCGACAGAGCTGTAGGTGGAGACACAGTGCATCCAGTGTGACCTGAGCCTTGAGCTGCCGTCCCCACCGTCCTGATCATGGTGCCTTTCTACCGGCTTCTAGGAATCCTGTCACTGCTGCTTGTTCTGCACTGGAAACATGGGGCAGGGAGCCCCCTTCCCATCACTCCTGACAATGCCACCTGCACCACACGTCACCCATGTCCCAGCAACCTCATGTCCCAGATCAGGAATCAACTGGCGCAGCTCAACAGTAGTGCCAACGCCCTCTTTATTCTCTATGTAAGTTACCCTCTCCCATTCTCTGGGATGGAGGAAGGAGAGGGCGGGCCTGGGGTGGAAAGAGTGGGCAGAATTCCTGCAGATATCAGTAGAGGCTGCACTGACCTAGGCTGGGGGTGCTGGCCAGGGAGGGGACCTTTTTCGGAGCTGGAAGGAAAGAAAGCGATGCTGGTTAAACCACACCCAGCTTTCCCCACACCTACCCCCAGCCCAGACTGGAATCAACTTTTCCAGGGTTAGGTCAGAGCAGAGCTCTGCTGAGAATGTAAAGGGCCTGGCACTTCAGGTTTTGAGATTCCTCCATCACAGTGGAGCGAGAGGTAAATGGAGATACACAAAGAGGGAAAAGGTGAAGAGGTATTCAGAGAGGTGCCGTTGAGAGAGGGTGGGTGGTGGGTGTCTGGGTGCAGAGAGATGCCCAGATGGGTGAAAAGGCAAGTGGGTGTGGCACACCTCTGAAGGTGAGGCGCCCACGTTTTCTTTCTTTCCCCATATGACCATGATAATTGAAAAACGTAAAAAAAACAGGTGTTGTTGAGTCGATTCGGGCTCATTGTGACCCCATGTGTGTCAGAGTAGAACTGTACTCCACAGAGTTTGCATTAGCTGATTTTCCGGAAGTAGATCATCAGGCCTTTCTTGTAAAGCACCTCTGGGTAGACTTGAACTCCCAACCTATCGGTTAGCAGCTCAACCATTTGCAACACCTAAGGACTCCTACTACTAATAATAAGTAATAATAACAATCCTTGCATGATAGAGGCCTTGATTCTTTACCAAGTGAGTTCACACCCACATATCCTTCTGGCTCTCATGACTATCCTGAGATGCATATGGGGCACGGAGTTGGGTCCTCATGCCATAGGTGGGGAAACTGAGGCCCAAGAGGTTGCCCCGAGGGTTGGTGGCAGGGGTGGAACACAGATTCCTGCCTCCTTGCTCACCTCCCCTCTTCCCTCTGCTCCTCAGTACACGGCCCAGGGCGAGCCGTTCCCCAGCAACGTGGACAAGCTGTGCAGCCCCAATGTGACAGACTTTCCGCCCTTCCATGCTGAAGGCATGGAGAAGGACAAGCTGGTGGAGCTGTACCGCATCATTGCATACCTTGGTGCCTCCGTAGGCAACATCACACGGGACCAGAAGGTTCTCAACCCCAACGCCCAGAACCTCCACAGCAAGCTGAGCTCCACGGCAGACACCATGCGGGGCCTCCTCAGCAACGTGCTCTGCCGCCTGTGCAACAAGTACCACGTGGGCCACGTGGATGTGTCCTACGGCCCCGACACCTCGGGCAAGGATGTCTTCCAGAAGAAGAAGCTGGGCTGTCAGCTCCTGGGGAAGTACAAGCAGGTCATTGCTGAGCTGGTCCAGGCCTTTTAACACGAGATCTTGAAGTGTGCTGTGAACTGAGGGATCATGGGAGAGGGATCCAGATTTGGGGGCTCTCACAGTGTGGCAGGGGGTCATTGCTGAATGCAGGTAGAAGTTGCCGGCAGACCCTGAGGGGCTCCCTGCCAGTCCACTTCACTCTGGGGTGGGCTGGGATGAAGCCAAACAGGGTCATAACTTCTACATGTAGGGCCTTGATACTGTGCCATTAGAAAGTGGTGCCCCTTCTTCTGGAAGATGGCAGCCAGGAACCAAGGCGTCAGGCTGGCAAGTGGAATGTGAGTTGGACTTCTGCCCCTACCTGACCCTCGGTCATGGCTTTAGGCAGTGAGCAAAAAAATCATCTCTGGGGGCACTGACCACAAGGCAAGAGAGCAGGGATCAGGGCAATTGCCCAACCCCCAGCAAAATGACAATCAGCATCCTCCCCTTAGGGAGACTTTGGAAGGCTTGGTTGAGATGTGAGGTGCTGGAATCCCAGAGGACTCCCTGTCCCTAGAGGTGTGCCGTATGGAAGGTAGAGAAGGCAGCTCTGGGATGGGATGCTGCCTTCTCATGAGAGTGGTTGGAGCGCTCAGGCCTAGTGACTGTTGGGTGGAAGTTTCCAGAAGCAGGTCATTGGCATTCAGGCTGTGAGGGCTCTTGAGGAGGTGGACAGCCACCTTCTAGCCTGGAAAGGAAGATGTGGAAGACTTCCCAGGTTCTCCTTCCTCTTCCCAACAGGCTTTCCTGCAGCCTGAGATGGCAAGGGTCTGGTGCTGGACCTGGAGCAGGGTCAGTGGAGGTGGATGGGGCAGGGGCAGGTGCAAAGTCAAGCGAGGAGGTTCTGAGGCAGACCCAGAGTCCTCCTTCTGAGCAAGGGCCTATAAGGACGGGAAGAGGGTAGTTCAAAGTGGCAGCTCACAGCTATAGAGGCCTGGTGAGATCACGGGAAAGTAGGTCACAGGTGGTCTCTGGTCCCTAGATAAGGGGACAGCATAACTTGAGGTCAGGGTCTCCAAGGGAGCCTGGGATCTGAGAGTGCTGAGTGTCTGGCCCAGCATGATTGTCTATTTATTATAATATCCTATTTATATTAACTTATTGGTGCTTTAAGTGGCAAAGTTAGTTCCCTTTTCCTGCTGCCTAGCCAACATTAATAATAAGATGGCTCTCTACCTAGGAGCCAGGGCCAGGCCTTTTAGCAGCGCCTGGCCTGGACGTCGAAGATGTTACAAGTGGGAGGATCCTTACAGGTGAAGCTCAGAGAAAGGTTGACGTAGGAGTGGAGGCACCTGACTCCATCCCACCTCTCCAACTGTGACTTGCTATAGGGGACCCAGGGTCCAGACTGTAAGCTTAGGCCAGTTTGTGGAGTGGCCAGGTACTTTTTGCCTGTGCCGCCATGTTGCTTGACTCTGGGGGCCTCATTCACACTGTGTTCTCTGGCATCCCTTGGAGTTGTGCAAATGTCTTGTTCCCACAATGCCTCTAAACTAGCAGTTGAGGGACTCTGGAACTGTCCTGACCCACCACCCTCTCCCCAAAGATGCTCCTGCACGGTGGGAAGCTCCTTCTTTGGTGTCCAAAACAACACTGAAGACACAAGGGCCTGGATGAGGAGAACTTGGGAAGCTGGAGCAGTGTGGGAGAGACACTACCTCCTGCTGTGGAGGGGGCAGCTTGAGACCCCTGGACTCAGACCAGGAAGCTGTGGTTCCCTCTGCCCCACCAATCCCATGCCCCCACCTAGGTCTGGGCTTCAAGACAGGGAGCCTGATCCCTTCCTTTGAGCTAAGGGCCAGGCAAGTCTAGAAATGTCCTCCAGTCTGGAAGAGGGAAAGCTGCTGAGAGGTGTGTTTTGGCTTCCTCTCAAGCCCTGAGCAGGCAGGCAGTGGTCCTAACAGTTCAGCTGATGTGATTATGATGCTTTGCATTCACTTTGTGCCTTTCCCTGTCCTTCTCTGAGCACTTTATCCATGCCTACCTGCTGGCGGGCAGGCAGCAGGCAAGCCAAGAGACTGGGCCCAGGGCCAGGAGTTAAACTTGTCCCCATGGCAAGACTAGGATGTGGAGACTCAGCTCTGAGCTCATCATGGGTCACACTCGCCTTTGTCCTGGATCTCAGCATGCTGCCCTTCCCATCTCCCTGCTCTGTTGGTGGACAGCTTAGGGCTGGCTGACCTTCTCCAAGCTGAGCTACAAGAAAGCCAACCTCATCTGAAAGCCAGAACTGGCGATTCCAGAGCCCAGTGCCAGCTGGGTCGTCCATCATCTCATCACCTTGTGGATACACCTGTGCTGGGCACACCTGGGCGACCTTCCTTCTCGACCCGCCCCTGACCCCTCGACTCTCCCACCACCCGTGCCTCTTTCACACCAGCCCCGTTTCTGCCCCTCAGTCCCTGTCCACAGCGCTCCTCCCAGAACCAGCCCAGCATATCAAAACCCCCTACCCACAGCATCCTTGAATTATTGAGCCTTTGTGGGAAAAGATGTTTTTTTCTCATTTTCTTCTGTTGGCATTGACCCACTCCTGGCGTCCTGGGTTATGTGCCTGGACCAGGGGTGATTTTAAGGAGGAGAGGGGGGCCCTCAGCAGAGGAGGAGGTAGGAAGGTCATTTTGCAGTCTATCAAGGAGACTTTTATTAAAAAAAATTTTTTTTTTAAAAGTAAAAAGCACTGCTAGTTTGCTTATCTCTCCTCCTCCTTCTCCTCCATCCCCTCATCTCCCTTGTCTCTACTGGGACAATTTCTCCCTGAGAGAGGCAGTCCAGCCCTGCTTGGCTGGCCCTCCACAATAGACATAGCGCATGGGGCTGGAGCCCTGGAATTGAGAGAGGTAGTCCTTTCCCTTCAGATGGTACAGAGGTTCTGATTTCATTGGTCCTGGGTAGAGCCCATATTTTAGTGTTTTTGTTGTAGTTGTTGGTTTTATTTTTAAAATCTCCAGTTTTTTCCAATGTGAAGCAAGAGTTGAAAGTTACTGAGTTAGGGGAATATCGTTAGCTGCCATCCAGTTGGCCCCCAACTCATGGCCACCCCATGTGTTATGGAGCAGAACTGCTCCATATGATATTCTTGGCTACCGTCTTTTATGGAAGCAGATCACCAGGCCTTTCTTCCACAAAGCTGCTGGGTGGGTTCGAACCACCTATGGGTTAGCAGCCCATTGCTGACCACTTGCGCCACCCAGGCTCCTTCAAATGGTACAGATGTTCTTACCTTAGAACCATCTCCAATACACCACCCTACCCCACCTCACCCGTGATCCCAACCCACAGCGCTCACTCAGTAGGACCTACCATGTGGCCTTATCCAGAGATCCTCTCTGTCCTTCCTTTCCAATGGAAAGGATTTTGCCTTGGGTGATAAATTCCTGTTTGATGAATGTACCCTGTGGGAATGTTTCATAATGACAGATGATTTTATTTATTCAATGTCATATTTAAAATATTTATTTTTTATATTGAAGAAATACTTTTGTTTTTTTAAGAAAAAAGAGGAATTAATAAAGAATCCACTCTTGGCTGGCTTTCTAGGGTGTATTAATGTGGGAGATGGGGCTGGAGGCCTGGGACTTTCTCTGCCTAAGTGCCCAGCCAAGTGGGGCTCTGCTGGGCAAACGGCAGGAGCATCGGAAAAGGCACCTCCATCAAGTGAGGATGCTGGTAGGGGCTGGGGCAGGGGTGAGAGGAGCTCGGGCATAGGCTGAACCAGCGAGGTAGGTGGTGTCTAGATCACGGGGTGCTGCCAAGAAAGGACGGTTGCTTAAAAGTCAGAGGATTATTTCACGTCTTACAAGTAGTCAGCTCATTCACCACCAGCCCTCACTTAACTCTCATAGTGACCCCATGAATCATCATCCCCATTTAACAGAGGGGGAAACTAGGCTCAGGGAGATGAGGTGACTTGCCCAGCATCACAGTGGCAGTGTTTAGGGCCCATCAGAGACACCCCTGTAGCTCCAAATCTCACACTCTTTCCCCTCCAAGGAACTCAGAGACTTAGAAGACACCAGCTGCCAAGACCTCTGTCTTCAAGGATGGACCACTGATCACCATCGACGGCAAAGACAGCAGCTGAGAATGTGGTGCCGGAACATTCAGGGCCCTGTTCAGACTCACACAGAATGCTGGGGGCCAGAGCCAGGGCTTTTCCACTGGGCCCTTCCAGGCCTGAGCTGCCCTCCTGCAGGGAACACTTCCTCCCTCCTGCCTCGCCCCACGTGGACCCCCAGCCACTGCAACCTCTTCCCAGACTCCTGAGACCCCGTTCCTTGGGGGAACACGAGAGGTTGGGACTGGATGGCCACAGACACAGGGGTCCTGGAGTAGCCGCAAATATCTCCCCTGTGCTTTGCTCTGGGGCTGGCTCTGGGCGTCCCCAGCTGCGATACATTTTAGGTAACTGGACAGCTTTTCTGAGAGTCACCTACTTGTTCGTTCATGAACGCTTGTAAGTGTCAGGTCCTGTGCCCAGCTTCCAAAGCTGAATAGGACACAGGAGGTGCCTTCTAGAAGCTCATAGACCAGCAGGAGAGGGTGAGTGTGATGGAAGAGGCACACACAAGGTGGGGAGGACCAGGCAGAGGGAGCTGTGCTCCAGGGGCCTGGAGGGGAGTGGGCTGTGGTCCTCTCTGCTCTCTGTGCAATGAAGGACCGTAGCAGAGGCCCTGCAGAACATGGTCCACGGACATGCACCATCAGAGTAGAACTGTGCTTCGTAGGGGTTCTTGGCTGTAACCGTAATGAAAGTAGATTGCCGGGCCTGTTCTTCTGACATACTGCTGGATGGGTTTGAACCAGCAAGCTGCAAAGGCCAGTCTGATGGTCCTGAGGGTGAAGTGGGAGAGGGACAACCCAGGAAGGCCAGGACAACTCCCAGCTCTCCTATCTCCTTTCGTCCCTCACCCCCCCAGCTGTCTGTGACCTTTTCCCTTTTCTCTTTCCTGGTTGCAGTGTTTCCTCTCCCTCCCTAAAGCCCTAGGGTGGGGGATCCCTAGATTCCC